CTGAGGTATTACATAGATAAGGCTTGAAATATTTTATACTGAAGAATTCCCACTGTCCCAATGACCAGCTATAAATATTTATGGGGTGTTTAAGGCAGCCAAACACACAAATATTTAATATTCATTCATACTGCACAGGGAATTCAACATACACTTCTTGTAGGCTCTTTCTTATGTAATGCTCAAGCACATTACCTCTGCAGAGAGACACGCACTTTTATGAACAGCAGCTGAGATCCTCAGCTGATGCAAAAAGCCTTCCTTTTCAGAGGCTCAACATGCTCCAGATTACATTGGTAACAGCAGTACAGAAAACAGAAACAACAGCTTTATTATTGATTCTTCCACATAAATTGTGAAGAAAGCAGATGTCAGGCACAGTTATCAGTAAGAAACTAGGCTGTGTCACAATGAAGCCAACTAATGGTAGTATGTTGTGCTGCAGAGAAGAGCTGTCACGGACTTCCCTGGGTGCTTTCCTCACTCAGCAGACTAAGCTGTGCCTGGGTCAGGCTCGCTACCTCCTCCCCATCACAGCGCAGGTTAGTCCATCACAGAAGACTGTATTCCTCTCTAACAGCGTAAACAAAGACAGAACTTTGAGAAGTCATTTTGCTCTGTTTCACACACCTGGACTACCAGAAAGATGGCATGCTCACTTGGCTTTTCTCCATTACAGAAGTTCATGGGACATGCTGACGAGAGTCACATTGAATGCAAACTTAGGATTTAAAGAATACCATTACACAATAAATGTCTGAAGAACCAGCAACCCTTGAGCAGTCTGCATAGAGGAATTAAGGGGAAAACAAAAAGAGAGGGGACACTGCCGTACCCCCTAGCCAGAAGAGGCTTTATGAGTTTGCAACTGCCATGCAACAAGCAGCGATTCAGAGGTCTGCAGCTCATCACAACACAGTGAGGTGCCAGTGGTCCTGAGGGAAGTGTGCACCTCTAAGAGCAAGCAAAGGCTGAGATTTCCAGAGAATTACAGACTGCAACTCACTAGCTCTGCTAACAGACAAAAATTGTATAATTATATCAACAATGCTGTTTCAGGTATTTCACTGATAAAATGTGAAACCTGTGTAATAGAGAGTTTTATATCTCTGCTTTACTAAATAAGTCAAAGCAGGGACTGCTACGTCTCATACAAAAGAAAAGGACAGTTGGGACTTTCATAGTGAGGGCTAGACTTTCTCTTTTATCCTTTGAGGGCTAGACTACTTGCTTTTAGGTAGATGCCATATAGATGTAGGCATTTTTTTGGATAACTATGTGTTTATTGAAGAGTCCCTTAGCAGAAAGCTAGAGCTATTTCCTTTGAATTTCTATAGTTCAATGCTGTTTACTATAATGTTAGTATTTGAGGTGGTAACAAGGGTTAAATAGATCTCCTTAATTGTGGATACATCAAAGTAGGTGTAGAAACACCAGAAAAATCAAATCTCTGTTTGTGTCTGATCCATTAGTCACTTTTACTTGTGCTTAGAGAACTGCAGCCACGCTCCTCTATCTGTTGAGGATGTACATGTGATAAGCATTGCAGCCACATCTGATGGGCAGCAAAGCAATTTTCCTTCTTAAGACTATTGCAATGGAGGGATGCATGCACGTAGGTGCTTGAGAAATAACACACAACTGAATATACAGGGACAGTGTATACGGCATAGAGGGGAAGAATGGTAGAAGTGGGATCATTCAGGCATCAGCTGGAGAAGGTGATGGCTTTTTGGGAAGGGTGACTACCCTGAAAGATCTCAGCTGCTTCACCCAGGAGATCAACATAAATCTTAGCCTGAGCATTTCTGCTTTCTCTCTGTGAATGTTTACATTTTCATTGTTGCCACCATCTTCTTCAGATGAATCACAGTCAAGGCTGAAGAATGGAAGAATGGGATGAATGATGAGTGAGTGGAGCATGGTGTTAAAACATCAGCAATGGGACCCCCCCAAAAAAAAAGGTGAACAAAGGACAGCAAGGTGTTGCTGTATATCTCACTGAAATGTTCTGGAGCTCAGGAGCATGGAAAGAAAAATACAAATGCAAAATACTTGCATAATGTGCTAAAACAAGCATAAAGGAACTTTATATTCAAGTATTTTGGCTGCAGTACTCCGTATGTGTAAATAAATTTCACACTCATCCCCTCTTGCCCATGATGTCTTGAAGCATGTATGTACGTATCTCTATTATCAGCAGAGCTGTGCATGTGTTTGAAGAAAAGTGAATCACTTGGTGACCACTTTTGATTTTTATACTTCTTTATGTCAGCATTACTGAACACAATACAGGCATGCTTTCCAACCCTCCTGTGCTCCGCTCAAGTGCTCACAGCCAGAAATACTGCTCCAGCTAACACGTACTGCTCTCTCCTGAGTACTACTTTTCCTGGAACAAAGTGCAAATCTGAAAAATGCAAGTTCATCAGGAGAGACAACACAGTCAAGGCAGCTGGTTGACTGTTTATATGTCACAAGGAGAGCCCTACCAGAAAGGAATCATCTTCAGTTGCTGGCCCCCAGCTTGTTCCAGCCCTATGAAAGCATACAATTTGTTCATCTTGGAAAATTTTGCTCATATAAACAGATCCTTCCACAATATGAGAGAAATTTCAGTGAGAAAGGTATGTGTCAACACTTGTGTTCTGGTTGTTTCTATATATTAACAATATGGCCCAAATAATATGCTTTCTATTTGGTTAAATTGCATTTGGAGACAGAAAAGACACCATATTAGCTATTCGATAATTCCATTATAATTCCATATTTGTTGCTGGCACTTTGAGACAACATATGCAAGCAGGTGAGGAAAGGACAGGTGAATTTCTCCCTTGGGCTATCTTCTTCGGCACAGCTAGAATCAGGCAAGCTGGGATGGACAATACCAGTAGGTGCTAGCAACTATCAAGTACTTACCATCAAAGACAACGATGGCAATATAATCTTAGATGCAACAAAATCTCCAGCTGCACACTGTCAGTAACAAGGAAACAATGCCAGAGAAAAAATAAAATCACTCTGTATTTGGCTTTTCTTAGGCTTTTTACATATTCACTATTGGTCCCTTCTAGAGGAAGCATATCAGGGTTTTGCCCAGTTCAGCTCTTCCTTTGTTTTAAAAATTTTTCCCTCTTTTCAGACCAACAGGCTAAATTCTTAGGGAAAATAATAAAATTGGGCTTCCACAGTGGTGACTTGATTCATCTCTCGAACTCCTTTGCTCCCAGCATAAACTGCTGTTTCTGGAGGGACTTCAAGAACTATTGCTACCCAGCTGGCTTTGGTGCAAGGAAGGGTGTATTTGGAAGAGCTGACTTGAACTTTACTATCACCACAACAAGGAGGAGTGCAAGGTCCTGTGTCTGATACAGGACAACCCCATGCATCAGTTGGGTTAAGCAACAGACCTTTCTGAAAAGATCCTGCTGGTTATGGTGGATCAACTATGGAATATAAGCCAGCAGTGGAAAGGTGGCAAATAACATCACATCAAGGCCTTGAACAACATGACAGAATTTTGCAGCTGGCTATAAACTCAGACTTTGCATGGGGATAGGACCAGACAACCTCTCGTAGTCCCTTCCAACCTGAATGACTGTGACTCTTTAAGTGGTAGAGGCAGGCAATGGATCAGAGGGCAATATCCACAGGCTGAATCTTGGGAAGTTCAGATTGCAGATGAAGCAGCACTTCTTCCCCCAGTGGAGTTGCAATCCTGGGACAGTTCACCAGCAGTGTGGGGGATCTCCATTCTGTTTTGTCTTTTTTAAACTCAGATAGAGTAAAGAACAGCTGCCCCGGCCTTGTGCTAGCACAGGCTGCTGTGGATGGGAGCTGCAGCAGAGATCTTCAGAGGTCCTGGCCACCAGAACTGCTGTTATACTGTGACATGTTCTTATGATAGCTTATTACATTAAATTGCATGTTTATGGTGAAAAAAGGGAAGGCATGCTCAATGTTATACCTGTTTTCTGGCATGGTGACAGTGTACAGATATAAGGGTGACGGGCAAGGTTTTCATGCCCTGCCCAGAAGGTGCAAACATCACTGATGTCTGCAGACTGCAGCCAGAAAACCAAGTGAATCCCAACTGAACAAGGAAGACTACAAACAGAAGTCTAAACCCAAACATGCTTTAGCATACTTAATAATTATATATCTAGCAGCAGTTGATTATGAAAATTCTTCCTTATTCTGTGACAGTGAGTCACAGTGCTTTGCAGGGCACCACAAAGGTGGGTAGGCTTTCACCCCTACTTCACAGATGTGGTTAAATCTGGTCATCATTACAATGTGAGCAAGTAACGGAACTGGGAAGTGCTTTCAGCTCCTAATGAACTTGATTAAACTCAAATGCTAGCGTTTTTTCTTGAGCTATTTTGTGCCAACACACTGATGGTATATGAAATACTTTTAATAAATAAAACATACTTTCTCAACTGCCACCTTCCAGAAACAGATGAGAAGTGCCTGCCGTGTGGGCTGGTGTCCAAGCTTTACTGAGAAGCTACGCTACGTGCAACCATTTCAAGGGTTCTCAGTGATTATAAAAGCACACTGGCTAACTCTAAATTAGACTGAATAGCCTCAATTATATAATTCATTACTACTTGTAAGCATGCTTTGTGGAAAGAACAGACAGGAGCTGTAAAGTAATGGATGATGGGAGATAAATTGGCATGTGTATGAATCAATGTTTAAACAAAGGAACTCCAGCTCTTTCTGGGAATAGCAATATTTTGATGTCTCAAATCCCCCGACACTGGTTTCATAAATGCAGTAACGTAAACCATGTGCTGGGTGGTGATTTTCTGAGGACCTTCCCACTTTCATTGTGTATTTTATTATAGGCCAAATGTGACATGAAATGCTATCCACTGCAGCTTGGAGTTAAATAATTGCTCTGTTCAGAATAGCAATACTCAATTAAACAGCATTTTTCATGATCTACACCCTCTATTGTCACTGTGTTTAAGGGAAATAATGGGAGCACTGACCTATATTGCGTTTCTTATTATCAATGGAGATGAAGCGTATGCAGGGATTATCGGTGATGTACTGTGCAGCCCAGGGGACATCAATCCGTGTACCGGCTTCATAAAAAAGTCCCAGAGCGTAGCGGGAGGAGTAGCTCACAGATTCCAGTTGCTGCTTTTGACTTTCATTAATTACTGTGGGGGGGGAGGGGAAAAAAAAAGTCAGACAATTCCTCTTCTCCCAGAACATTAAACATGTGAATGCTGTGGTTAAGGTTAAGCATCCTGAAAATGACCAGACTGCTAAAACTAAGAATTTAATATTAAGCCTAGTGCTTTGTAACATTTTTTCTGGGACACCTCTTCATGAAGTTTTAATGGCGCATTATGTAGAGCATGCCCTCCACACACAACCCTCCCCCATCTGGTGATGGTTTATCTCCCAGTTCTCCCCTAGTTGCTTTTGACTTGAAATTTCAATGACGGGTGACTTCTTTCCAAATCTTTTCTCAAAGGGTGGATAAATGAGAATAAGTGGTTTGTGCCTCTAGCACATCAAGTAAATTATTGTATAACTCTTCAAAACCCCAAATGACTTCATATATCAACGAAATGAACACAAAGGACTCTTGAATCTCTGGGAGAAATAGGCCTGCAACTTCTGTGTTGCAATTCAAATGGATGAAGAAAACACTTCAGCACACAAAGGGTTCGTAGTGAAGTTCAGTTCCTTCAGTTGAAGGTAATTTAAAGTCGTTTAAAGTATTTCAGAGCAAATATGAATCCACACCTCCCTACAACTAACTCTTATATCTTCTAATTACAGTAAGATCTGCTTTTTGCCTCAATTTTATAATCTTCAAAAAAAGCTGCACAAAGTAGCATTAGCCCCACTGTGCATTCAAATCCAATTTTATTTCATGCCAAAGAGAAATACAACAGTTTGATTAATTGTGGAGTTAGGTACCATATCTCTCTTCTTACTACTAAATGGATGGCCAATGCTTCTGCAAGCTGGAGCAAGATGTACGAAGACAAAAAATCACAGTGGCGTCCCACTTGTATGTGAAACTGCATGCTCAGTTGGGCTTGTTTGGAGATTTGATATTGAGAGGCAAAAGAAAAAGAACTGAGGTGTTTCATTTTATGCAAAATTCAGCCAACATGATTAATAGCTTTTATGAAGAAAGGAGCAGCTGATGGCTATATCTACCATTGCACTTCCCACAACCAGCAGGCCAAGTGTTGAGTGGTATCTTCAGAAGGACTTCAGCAGAAGTCCTGCCCCAAGACAGTCCAGGCCCAAGAGTGGGGCAGGCTGAGATGGGCTGGAGGGGGCCGCTCTCCATGCAAGGCTTCACAGGTGAGAGGCATCTGCAGACTCATGCACACCAAGCTGTCCTGGAGTCACAGCAATGAAGGCCAACTAGCCCAGTGTGAGAGCATCCAGCAGGTCAAGGGAAGGTATTATTCCCCTCAGGGGAGGCCACATCTGGCACCTGGACACACTGTGCAATTTATTGTGCTCCCCAGTACAAGGGAGACAACAACAAACTGGATAAAATCCTGTGCAGGGTCACTAATGTGGTCCACTAAAGGAGATGTCCATTCACAGGAAATCACCTGGACATGGCCCCAAACAATTTGCTGCAGCTGCAGTGTTGCACCTGCTGGGAGCAGTCTTAGGCTGCAGACCCCTACCCTGGTGCCTCCAGTCAGAATTGGTGGGACTGGGTGATTCTGCACACTGTACCCACACCACAGCCACCTCCACTCGACCGCAGTCAATGTGCCTTGAAGAAAAATGCTGGCGTGACATGACCGTGTCATGACTAATGCTGCTCCTCAGAATTTGCAACCAGGACGGCTTCATCTCACAGTCACTCCACCAGTACACATTCTCTCCCCAGAAACTGGTATTTCCTGCTGTGCCAAAGTGAGACTCTGGGAACCAGGGCTGTAAATCAAACCTCTGTTCACAGTGCCAGGATGCAGGCAGTCCTGAGTCACGCAGTACCAGCCAGGGGCAGGAACCCAGAACCACTGGCAGAGCGTTTTCCAGCAGGATGCATGTCTGAGAGCACATTCAGTCATGCTGAAATCCTCAACAACTGCCACAAACCTGTAAAGACTACATAGCACCAGTATGCATCAAGGTCCAGTCCCACCACCACTACTGGTATACTCCCTTCTCAAACAGCATCAAGGCTGCCTGTATTCCCAGTCTATTTACATGTCAGTGACAAGGAGCAGGGGAGAGTGTCACTCCTGATACCATCCTGGTGGAGAGGAGGGGTGGTGTCACCCCGGATCTTACCAATCTGTGGGTGACCATTTCAGTTTACAGGTTCTGAGTTCAAAGTCTTTGCCATGACTAGTCCATTCAGGCAACTTTTCCATGTGGCCTCCCAAAATGTGTAGGGACACAATTCATGTCCCTATTCAAGGTCCTCTGAGAGTCTCACTATGTAAGCCATGAAGCCTACTATGTCTCAGAAGTCTCAGTGAACCACCAGAGAAGGTTCACATAGGATACTGAGTCCACTCATCACAGACAGGTGCCTTCTACAGGAGGATGCATAGCCTGCAGACTGCCATAATCTCTCGCCTGAAAACCCACCAGGCTACTCGTACGTATCTGCCCCATCTTCTTGTTTCTGTAGCTGCGTATTTTTTCCAAGATGTCTCTCCACTCTATTCCTCTGCACGTCATGGAGAAGACTGATTTCAGAGGCTGCTTTCTGCCTCCTGCCCTGAAACAGCGGCCTCATGTACAGAGTGCTCTCCTAATTGAGGTTCCTGGCCGGTCTCCCCCACTTCACATGACATCCACTCCCATACCAGCCTTACCTAACCATCAGCACATGAGAAGATCACTAGTCAGATTCCATCTCAAATCCCATCAGAAATAAACCTTGAAATACCCCCAAGAAAAAACCTCACAAATTTTAACACAAATATACTAGGGAACAGAGAAATGGGGGTGGGGGGGA